AAAGTTATAATACCCTTGTGCAAAAGTGCGCTCGGGTATAAAAAGGGCTTCTATATTGTTTGAGAAGCTCTCCTACCGTAAACTAAATAAATGAATGGGTTTGAAAAATACTTTTTTATTTGAAATGGCGCTTTTATTTTTCCTCTCCGACGTCAGGATTTATTTAAAAGGAGTTTGTAATTTCAAAGATATGATTAATTCCAAAAAAAAAAATTATTTAAAAAATTATTTAAAAAATTCAATAGAAATAGAAGAGAGGAAATTTTTAAGTCCCGAAAATCCCGGCATTATTTGCCAAGAGTCCCGGGATTTTTGTGACCTTAAAAAGGCCGGATCCCGGGATTAACATTCCTAGGACGTACGTAACACAAGTATAAAGGTATGGATTTGCGAAATATAATTATATGCTTGTCTATGCGATTATTTTGATAATCTTTTACATAAGATTATTTTGTGCTTATCAATTTGTTCAATAAATAACACTACCCGGCATACTACAACAAGAAATAAAAATTGCCTCTAAACAGTGAATAGCCATTTCCGAGTAATTTTTCGCGTTGAAACCGAATCCGGCAGGTTTTTGATATATCTTAACTTAAAAGTGTAAAAAAAACAATTCATCACTGCGTGAATTTCAACCCCCTCACAATTTGTTGTCGAAGTGACTTTGATGGAAATTCACCATTTTCTATTTTTTTAGAGTATTAAAAAACGCAACTTTTGGGGAGTATTTTTACATACCCCGATGTTTGTATAAATCGTCCAAACTTAGTTTAAGGCCAATTAAAAGCATTAAAGAAATAGGTGGCATTGTGGTACGAGTAGACTGGGGTGGAGTGAATTGAAGGCAGATATGTGCATAGATGTGTTTCTCAACGCCCAAGGACAGTACGCTACCACATTTGTTGAGAAGATTCTACAAAGTTGATTTTGTTGGGGCTTATTTCTTAGTTACAATACTTGCATATTATTGAATTTTCACCGATGCCTCCAAAACTAACATTTGGAAAAATAACTGACAGCGGCAACAGCATGGCAAATAAGTAGAAGTCATTCGCCGGCCTTCTAACTAAGTACTTCCAAAACGAGCAATAATGTGCATAAGTCTCAGCTAAGCTTTGTTGGTAAATAAATAGACATAAGGAACTTGTTTTACTTTATAGACTCATAAGTGGCAGGCCCCACGATATGTGGTATGTGTTAGATTCCAGTCTAAAAAATTATGGGCGTTTCCATATCTGTATATAAATGCTTCCAGATAGGGCTCTTTAAATAAGACGTTCTCTTTAGAACCCATATTCGAAGATCCTTGAATAGCCCAGAGCAACGGAAGTCACATAACGGAAAAATTTAATTGTCTCCTTCTGAGGGAGGCTAAATCGGAACGCCTTCAAGCCTTAAACATTCTATACAATAAGAGAACTAGAGAATCGAACACAGAGGCCGTATCGCTCCAAATGACCCGATTACCTGTTTTCCATATTTTGCCGACTGGGATATTTAGCTTTTCAACACCAACTATTTAAAAGTTCAAAATTTTACTGTTCTAAACGTAATTCCTCTTTTTGAAATAATCTGCAAGTCTATCGATTCTAGATCAGTAATGTCCTGCATAGATTAGCTCGCCACCACATCCAAAAAATTATGGTCAAGCTTCAGCTCTTCTCAACTATACAAAGTAGTTGTACGCGCCCAGTTAGCTTCTTTTCTTATTTTACATGGCTTTAGAACTATCTTTGATATATTTCACTAGATTTTCTGACACTAATGGGGATACTTAAATTTTATGCTTTTTTTATGTTTTTATGACAAATCTTTTCATGGCAGAAGTATACTCGTAGGTTTGCCATTGCAAGATTTATTCCGTGCTGAAGATGAGCAGATAACTTGAAAAATGTGCTATGGTAGCGATATCAAGACTTAATGTGCTCACACCATAATACTACTTTAAAACCACACATTCCAGAAAAGCTTCAATAGGTTCTCATGAAGTATATACATACATATCGACGGCTGAGTGGAAGATCGATCTACATATCTCGGCAACCGGCTCGAAAACACCCTATCTCACAAAATGGCTCAAAAACGCCCAACTTTAGATTTTAATTGAAGAACGCCCCATTTCAGAATTCGATTCAAAGACGCCCTATCTCATCGAGCCATTTTCTGAGATTGGGTGTTTTCGAACCGGCTGCCGAGATACACTCAGCCGTCGATATTAATTGAAAGTTCTTCCGCTTTAATCAAATAAAACCGAGTTAAAGAAGGCAAGTTTGAGGTAACAAAATTCTTTCGGATGCATACCTTTCGGTCTACCATGTTCTGTTGGGATAGCTTTCCTAAGTTAATGGCTTAGCGCTCCACCATATTAAGTAGTACTGCCATTGCTGTCGCCCAAAATGTATTGTGGTTTCTAGGGTTCTCAACCGAGAGTTGCAACAGCAATAAGGTAGCTCGAAAAAAAGGTTTTTTTGCATGTGGTCTTTCCTTTTCAGAGGAGCTTACTTCTTCTGATGATCTATCTGCAGTTTTTAAAAAAAAAAAAAAAAGATGTCTATACAAAAATCCACCTTAGACTTAAAATAGCTTGTCAGAAGAATTAAACTCTTGAATTTAATCACTCGAGTAATTGATTAACCGAACAACTTGATGGAGTAATCGAATAATCGCACAGTCCTAATGTATGTACATATATTTAGTTGAAGTTTTTTCAATGAGCTTTAATTTTATTTTTCCCTTTTTATATTAATTATTATTATTTGAAAGCTTATCTTATGCTGAATTTTCACTAGGCATTATATGAAAAAATTTGGAAACAAAATGTTGTGCATTAAAAAATATGACGTTCATAAAAATAGTAATTATTTCCGTTTCACAAAGTATTTTTTAAATAGCATAAATTTTTTGACATTTCCACGCCAAGTGGGAATTCGGCATAAGTCCTAATATAAGTCTCAATCTGAGTCTTTACATTTATATTTAGCTTCAGCTTTACCTTTAGCTTTAGCTTTACCTTTACCTTTAGCTTAACCCTTATCTTTACCCTTACCTTTACTTTTACTTTTGCCTTTATATCCTTATATTTATTTTGAAATGTATATTTGTCGCTGTCTTTAACATTACTTTATGTTTTCCTTATCTTCGCCAGCATCTTCAGCTCCATTTCCATCTTCATCATCTTCGTCATCATCTCATCTTTGTCTTGAGCAACATCTTCTTCTCCATCTCCATCTCCATTCATCCTAATCTTAATTTTCATCTTCATCTTCATCTCCACCTTCTTCTTCGTCTTTACCCTCATCTTCTTTAAGTTCACATTCATTTCCACGTTTATCTTAATCTCCATCTTCATATTCGTCTTCATTTCTTCTATGTATTAACTTTCATCTTCACCTTCTTATTCTCCTTCATCTCAATCTTAACATTTGTCTATATTTTATATATTTTTCTTTTTCGTTGCCTTTTACTGCGTCTTTTCCTTTGTCTTAATCTCCCTCTTTAGTCCTTCACATTACCTTTGTTCGGCGTTCGGCACTGACGTTCGGTTTTGTCCACGCATTCGCCATATAGATACTGGATTAGGAGTTTCACTTAAAACCATTTTCTAAACACACAGTTGGATTGATGGAATTCATTGATTTATTAATTAAGTAACGTTTAAAAATAAATAGTAGGTAATTAACACAAAATACTTTATTGCAAGACTTAAATTATATACATCTGAAATAAATATAGAGTTTCTTGCTGATTTTTAGTCACAGATCAACATAAAATCGTTTAAGTTCACAGTTTTTATTATTTTTATCTCGACAACAATATATGAAATACATTATTTTGCACGGCGCTCGATGAAGCAACATTTGTGAAACTGCGTGTATTATCACTGTATGAATATGACGCTGACGCCGATGCACTCACCGATGTGGTGATAGTAATTTCCGTTTGAGGTCGTGATTCGGTCGGCTGTAAGCAAATAGTCCTTCCATTAAATTGCCATAAATTATAAGTCGTTATGCACGAAAGACTTATGGTCTCAAACCTACCTGCAACATCAGACAGACCGTTAGTAGTAGAAATAATACACAGGATTTCGTCATTCTTATTTATGGTGTGGTCAATGCTTGTTAGGTCAGATGTTGTGCGCAAATGATTCGACAAAAAAGAAGAAAATTATTTTATACCAACTTCGAGTCACTCATTCCTGACAACAGCCAGCGTGCACAGCATAACTAGCACTCATATTGTAGAATAATATACATAGTAAACACCAAAGAAGTGAAGAAACCCGCGGCAATACGCTGAATGCAATTAATACCTATTTAGTCGTAAAAAAAAGATGCAATTATTTTACAAGTCAGCTCGCTGATTGGATTATAAAGTTTTACATGTGTACATCTAATATTTCCGCCCTCCCCCTTGCTCCAACTGCTTTTCTAACTTTACATAAAGCAATATTCTTGCTTATCGCGCTGATGTTGAGCGCGCGTTGAAATTTCCCATTGCAATCGCATCAGCGGCATGTGTTGCGTCTCGTGGCGCACAGCTGCTGCCAAGTTAATGCGAGGTGTAAGAGTTTACTCCAGCTATCAGCCTACTATGTAGTTAGGGGAAGCGTCTTACCTAAAACTTGCTCTCGTACATACATACATACGTACCTAAATATTTCCATGAAATTTTGTCATTTTAATAACAACGCTAATCTTAGGGGTTTTACGCTTTTCACCCGACAAATGTTCGTTTGCTCAATTTTAATTGATAAGTTCTATTGAAACTGCACACAACAAAACCTTATAAAAATTTGTATAAAAAGCTATTTGCTTCAAGCGCGCTGCATCAGTTTAACTCGACTGGCTTTCACGCAATCAAGCATTTCTAGAATAAAAAAATAAATTAATTAATTTTAAATGGCGAAATTTTGCGTTGCTACACTGCTGCTGTGTGTCTTCCTGAGTTTACAGGTACTTACCAGGGTACTTAGTGCACCTAATTTAACACTTTCAAACTAACTTCAAACACTCTCTGTCTCTCTCGCTCTCTCTCTCTATCCAATTGTGTTGTAGTTAGCTGAGTCGCGCCCTGAGGGACTTGTGATAAATAATCAAGTGAGCGCTGTTTCCACTGCCAACGTCAAAAATGATCCGAATCTACGTGTTTTCACAAATTTTGCCAATGTCAATTCAGTGCAAAAGGATTTGTATCATATTTTGTGCAATTGTGGGCCGCAGGAGGAGAACTCCAGCAGTGCGGGAGAAGACTGAGTGTAAACGTAAATACTTAAATATATTTAAATGTATTTGTAGCTTTAGAAATTTAGTGAAAGTCATGCTAACTGATTTTTGACAATGTCTAGCAAGTATTAACTTATGAAAAATAAATAAATATAATTTTAGTTGTAAAAGTTGGTGTTCTACACAGTTCGCAAGTCAATGGTGTGACAAGGTGACGTAGTTCTTACTTTATCATTCCAATACTTTTCTTAAGTTTAGATCACCCAAAAGAGTTCGTTACACCATAAATCATATACATATATGTAAAATCCGTGGAACGATATTGAACAATCGGAGAATGAAAGTGCGCATGGGTGGCTGAGGGTAAACGAAATTTTTCCTGCGCGTTGATTGCATTCTGCCGAACGCTTTTTTGAGGCGAGAAGCCACAGAAAGAGGTGAAGACGACCTCATGGAAAGTGTTTCGACTTTCTCTCGAGACATGAGTTGTTAATAGTTACATTGTTTGATTATAGTTACCAAATTCTGTGTTGAGATGAATAGATGTATTTAGCTGACTTTTTTCTCAGTGTAGAGCTGCTATATCGGCCGAAAACTTGTGCTAATGGTTTTATGAGTAAAATTAATTGGTCTTCATAAATTTGTTAAGGCTATAAAAAACAAGTTTTTTAATCACCAATACATACTTATGTACATTAGACCGGGTCGACCACCATACAAGCGAAACAGGTCTCCCTAGTTGGAAAGCTTACTTTGAGAAGTTTTTCACGGAATTGCAATTTTCNAAAAGAGTTCGTTACACCATAAATCATATACATATATGTAAAATCCGTGGAACGATATTGAACAATCGGAGAATGAAAGTGCGCATGGGTGGCTGAGGGTAAACGAAATTTTTCCTGCGGGTTGATTGCATTCTGCCGAACGCTTTTTTGAGGCGAGAAGCCACAGAAAGAGGTGAAAACGACCTATGGAAAGTGTTTCGACTTTCTCTCGAGACATGAGTTGTTAATAGTTACATTGTTTGATTATAGTTACCAAATTCTGTGTTGAGATGAATAGATGTATTTAGCTGACTTTTTTCTCAGTGTAGAGCTGCTATATCGGCCGAAAACTTGTGCTAATGGTTTTATGAGTAAAATTAATTGGTCTTCATAAATTTGTTAAGGCTATAAAAAACAAGTTTTTTAATCACCAATACATACTTATGTACATTAGACCGGGTCGACCACCATACAAGCGAAACAGGTCTCCCTAGTTGGAAAGCTTACTTTGAGAAGTTTTTCACGGAATTGCAATTTTCATCACATCTTCTTTACAGAAACCCGCCTTCTAGACGTACATAATTTTAATGTGGATGAGTTCGAAAATAACCCCGAAGTTAGTCGAAAGTTTTGGCGGATGTTTTAAAATGGACCCAGTATTATGGTTGGCCAAACAACATCCTACACTGAGAAAAGAGCTTAGTTGCGTCAACCAGATCATGTGTTGAGAGAAATATATTAAGCTGACTTTTTTCTGAGTGAAATGTACTAAACAAATAAATAGAATCTCATTTTAACGAGTATGTGTCTACGTGCATAGAAATTCAAAAAATAACTGCCCACAGATAATGCGGGAAACACTCCATGTGATAACTATTTAATAAGAAAAGTNGTCACATATTTTTTACAGAAACCCGCCTTCTAGACGTACATAATTTTAATGTGGATGAATTCATAAATAACCCCGAAGTTAGTCGAAAATTTTGGCGGATGTTTTAAAATGGACCAAGTATTATGCTTGGCCAAACAGCATCCTACACTGAGAAAAGAGCTTAGTTGCGTCAACCAGATCATGTGTTGAGAGAAATATATTAAGCTGGCTTGTTTCTGAGTGAAATGTACTAAACAAATAAATAGAATCTCATTTTAACGAGTATGTGTCTACGTGCATAGAAATTCAAAAAATAACTGCCAACAGATAATGCGGGAAACACTCCATGTGATAACTATTTAATAAGAAAAGTTGTATCAGAACAAAACTTGTTTTTGTCAAAGCTCATATTGCCATCGCAAATTAAATAGAAATGGTAATGAGATGTTAAAAAACGATTACTTAAGTGATTAAATATGTATGAGTGAGTATGCATACGTAGCTACATATATAAGAATTGCGCATTTCTCGCTTGCGTTTTAGTTGTTAAATATCATTTCCAAACGAACAAACAAAGGATACCAGCAACTAGTTAATATAAAAATGGTCGAGTTTTGGGGTATTTTCGTAGTATTTTCGGCTTGTGCCGCTATTCAGGTGAGATAAAATAGAGAGAGAGAGAGAAAGAGAGGCACACACTTACGCATATCCACAAGCTTATACGGTACGCACTTAAGTGTATGCACTTAATCCCTTGCAGCTGACAGAATCCCGTTATCATGACGCTAATGCATCTTCAGATGTAAGCGATCCCGACTGCAGCGCTTCCGAAGAGCTGCGTGCTATATTAAATGGCATAGACGATAATTCAGAGGATAGAAGCGATTCTCGACGACGCGTACCTACAAATCCCAGGAAGACGAATTCATTGGATTTAACGGAGCATGCGGGCATTGATCCACGCAGAGGCGAGGAAAGCTCCATAGAACAAGACGAAGTTACCTCTACATCTACCACACCACCTACCACAACTACCAAAGTGTCTAAACATAAAACTAAACATAATAAAAAACATAAAACTTCATCTACGAAACCTTTGAGTTTAACTCAAAGACGTCAAAGTTTGTATGCATTCGCCAGGGATGGCATGCGTGCGTATGAGAGCTACCTCGTAGGCCTAACACGCGCGACCATCGAGAATATTCTTACAGAATTGGAGGTGCTACCCAAGAAAAGTGAAAGTATCCGAGAAAAAATTGCTGAAGTGAAGAAAGCATTGAGGGAATTCGAAAAAATCGATTTGGAAAATCAAGCATCAGAATTCGATGGTGGTGAGGAGGCCTCCGACATAGTCGCCGATTTGAATACTGAGTTCAATAACCCTATCGATGCGCCACCGGCACTCGGGCAAGTGCTCGAAAAAGTTGGTTGGATGGATTTGCGCCATAAGTTGAACGATAAAGTGCTTAGTTTAATGGAGAGATTTGGCAAAGAATTTAACACTTTTATCGCCGCATTGACACCCTGGGAACGAGTGATGGAGACGGCTTTGGTAGAATTGCACAGGCGTTTCATCAGAGGTGATACTAATGCCAAATGGAGTTGTTTTAGAGAATTCTTGAGCTATTATGATTTTTGAAATTTATTTATAAAATTTTCTTGTACGTAAAAATGCTTTGAGTTCTTGTAATCTTGTTTCCGTTAATCACTATTTACGCTCGTATATTTCTGTTGAAATAATTTTTTTGTTGTTTTTTTATTATTCCAATTTGTTTTTCGCTTGAAAAGAACCTAAATAAACACACGTTTGATCTATAACCTTACAATAACCAGTTTATTTTACTGTTAAAATGACGTACATCTAATTAATTTTTAATTGGTCACTTACAGTGAACGGTGAGCGCCACGAGCGCTTATGATTTATGAACGTACGTATGTAGCTTTACATTTGAATATGCGCATCCGAACATTATAATTTATGGCTAGCAGCAGACAGTTGTCTGAGGCTTCGACGCGAATTTTATGTCCCTTTCATTAGAAAACAAAACTGCCTTTGGTGTTCCACGTGCGTAAATGCTAAGTCAATAAATTAATCGCTATCGATATACATAGTTATCGATTTTTCCATATCTAAGTATATTTAACGGCATTCTTCAATGCCTGATGGGTGCATATATTTCATACAAAAAATCTTTGCGCATTTTTATTTGTTTTGTTTTGTTTCCATCTTTATTTATCCATTGATTTTCTTCAATAGTAACTGGATTTTTTTATAACAGAACAGGCTTTAGCACAAGGGCAAAAATTTGACACAGAACCTGTTATTTTTAAAATTTTTCTTCTGCTAAAGTGTTTTTTTTTAATATTTTCATCAAAAAAAAAAAAAAATCTGGATTGATTAATTAATTTGTCAGAAACTATCAGACCTATCGAAAAGTGATGTAGAGTTTTGTTAGCTTTCATTTGCTATAATTCATATTAAGATTGTTAAATTGGTTCGTAAGATATACGTGAAAAAGTGTAACCACTTTTTGTTTAAAGCTGTTATTCAGGTAAATTGAAAATATCTTGAAAACCTAACCATAGAATAAAAAATTAAGTCGATTTTCAGAATCAGCGAGCAATTCTTTATAGGAATTTGATAGCGGCATCCATCAAAAATATTTGCTGTAAACCAGTGTAATTTGACAATTAGTGTTGTTTTATAAACAATTTAACTTTTATCCGAAATACCTGAAATTGCCTTTTTATGGTGTATTCAATAATTTTTTTGTCGGAAAAAATTAACTTTTTTTAATGTTTAATGGTTTAAGCAACCTGTTTTGTGCCATTTTTACCAGAACCTAATAGCGTTCAATGGACCTGAACTCAGGGAGTTTCGGTGGATTCGCATATCTGGGTACGAATGCTATATTATTTTTTGCACACCATTCAATTGCTGATTTGCTGTAATGGCATGAAACCAGGTCAGGCCAAAAAAATTTTGAGATTTCATGCTGCCTTTTAAATGGTACAAGTCATTTTTGTAAGCACTCCTAGATATGTAATTCGTGTTAATAGTCCCAGTTGTAACAACCGAACTGCTACGCATATCACAGCTACATATTACCTTCCATACCAAAACTTTTTCTTGACTCCATTTAGGGTGTGGAAACCTCATGGTTTGCCGGTTCCTTTTTTCCTATTAATGGTAAGACGTTCGCCAAAGACTTTAATAACTCGCGAAACGGCATTCCTTAACACGTTTGTTTTTTTTTTTAGCGATGGTTTCGAAAGTCCAATTTGGATTCTCTTTACACTGAGAAAAAAATCAACCAAAAATTGGTTAATATTATCAAATTCAGACTTGAATAGGAATCAATGTGATTTTTGGTTAATATTTACAATGCCTTGGTTGATATTTTCACCAATGACTTGGTAATATTAACCATATTTTAGTTTACAATAACCACATTTTTGGTTGCTGATTTTTTCGTTTGAATACGTGCATATTCTGCACTTCACAGATGCTTTTTCATAATTCGGATATACAAAAAAAAATGTTATAATCATTTTAACAGGTTGCCCCTGGCGGGATTTGAACCCGCTTCTTTTGAAAGTTAGCAAATAACACGGCAAGCATCTCTGCACACTCAGCTACAGCCGCTTTATAAATGTGTTTTCAAATGTTCGACTTGAATACATTTTCTTCGTCATTCTATTTGGTTCTGCACTTTACAGATGCGTTTTCGTAACTAAGAAAACACAAAAACAGAAAAAATAAATTAAAAACTATGTGTTGCCGCTGACGGCTTTCAAACCCCAAGCTGCTGGAAGCCAACAAATAACAGCAACTTCAGCTACGGCCGGACATACGAATTTGTTTTCAAATGATCAGCTTGAGTCACATTTCTTGTATTTACCATGAAAAAAACCAAACAATAACTTGGTTGAAAAAACCATTGAACTTTTGGCTCAGTGTAAAATATCCAATTTCTTCACGCACTTTTATTTCTTTCTCAATTCGGAACCAAAACTTATCAAATGGCCTTAAAACTTTGCATGATAATTTTTGTATATATATCAGAGATATCTTGAATTGAAGAAAAATTTGGATCTGAAAAAATTACAAATGTGTGCACTAATTTCATCCTGTGAAAACCTTACATGTAGTCGACGTAGATTTCAAAAGTGTCCCGCTGGGAGGCATGCCGTATGGATACGTTCACTTTGGGTCAAACGAAATGGATTATGGTTGAAGGAGATGATCCATCTCGTCTAAGTATCATCCTATCTTCGGAATTTATTCCTGTTGAGATGGCAACATCCTGACATGACATCAAAATTAGATCTATTCAGTCTGCATTTGCAATTACTTTATCTTTTGCTTACAATTAAAGTCTTCCTCCTAATTTCAATTAAGTTAGCACTTAGATGATGGACTTGCTCGGAAATTGCTTATATAAAGGGTAGCATTGTCGGATGTAAAAAGTTTAGTAAATGGAGATGAAATACATGATCTATCTAGTTTTTCGTTCCTTAACCCGGAGAGCCTTCGAAGTTGTATGGGTCATTTCATGATATGTACAACCGCATACAGACGTCGGTTAGTCGAAGTCCGTCAGCATTAAACATATTCTTTCCCATATAGTACTCATTATTATTCTTCACTGGAGTGCAATGGGGTATAGTCGTAGCGCTAGCTATGCAGTTACAGTGGCACGGCTTTACTCAATCCCGACTCGTGCGTCCTCGTTCGCTTTCTCTGGACAACGTGAGCAACCCATGTGCAAGATGTTGTAACCAACCCAAGTGGAGCCTTGGGTCACATCAGAAAGGGAGGGAGCTTCGGTGGGGCCACTCCGACTTATTCGGCTTAAGGGCTCACTGAAGGCTACAGCGTCTGCTAAGTAGGAGGTGCGGCTGCAAGCGAGCGTCTGTCTTGGAGCAAGTGGCCCGCTTTACAAATGTGTATCCGGTGGAAAAACCATCCACTCCAGCAATGGTTGTGCGCTGGGCTTGGGACCCGCCACGTAAAAAAATATATCCAATGAAAAGACTAAAAAATTCCTTGGATAACTGCATCTCCACTCGCTGACGACATCCGCAAACGGCAAACGGAACAAGGACTATGATTTACGGATATGCACTTGGAATGTCCGGACCCTCTATAGGAAAGGTGCCTCTATTCAACTGCTAAAAGTCATCACAAAATACCAGGCTGACATCACCACAGGTCAGGAAATGCTATGGACGGGGCATGGCTGCAAAAAATCTGCAGCATCTGAAATCTACTATAGCTGTTATGAGACGGCGCACAAATTTGGTGTCGGCTTTGTGGTTGAGCGGAGACTCCGACACCTTGTCTCCCATTTCACGCCATTCAGTGAGCGAATCGCCACACTTTGCATAAAGGCGAAATTTAATAGCATCAGCCTAATTTGTGTGCACGCCCCGACGGACGAGAAGGACGATGACAACACCTCCGACAACGGAGAGAGGCTGATCGACTTCGCCGCGGCACGGAACATGGTGGTCAGTAGTACCAGACACCAGCATCGAAACATCCATAAAACAATAACTCTTGCCAACAGTGCTACTGTGGGTTCGGTAGGAAATTGAAAAGCAGCGCTCTCTCTCGACGAACCAAAATCACGCTCTACAAATCACTCATAATGCCCGTCCTTTTATATAGCGCAGAAACTTGGACGATGTCGAACAAAGATGAGAAGGCTTTGGGGGCTTTCGCGAGAACTGTTCTACGTAAGATCTACGGCCCTGTTTTCGTGGACGACGGGTATCGGAGAAGATGGAATGACGTACTGTATGAGCTT